AGCAAAAGAAATAAAGAAAACTATATCCAAACAAAACCAAAAGATAAGAAAAGAAAAGAAATCAAAATAAAGGCGAAGAATCAGAGATAGAGAAACATCATCAGCAAAACATCAGAAAATCATTGATAAGACAAACAAATTTCACTCATCATTGGCAGAATCACGGTAGAAATTGTAAGAAAATCATTAAAAGAAGAATATCATCATCAATAGATAGCAGCAGAAAGGAAGTCCGAACACAAAGCCATAGAGAACCATCAAAGCAAGGGGGAATCATGTAAAGCACAAACAAGTATAAAAAGCACCCCCAAGCTTACCATGAGCTACCCCCCCTAAGCTAAACCAATAATAAAGCATGAAAAAGCAGAACTGGAGAAAATCAAGCAATAAGGGGGGTAGCCAAGTCAGTCTCACTAGGCACTATGGTAAGGGGTAGACTGAGAGCTCCCCTCAACATTATCAGTAACAACACGGCGAACCACATCGTCTGTAGCTAAAGCACTCTTCCCTTTGGTCCTAAACCTATTCCTAAGCAAATCTAAAGCAAGAAATGCGACCAATCATCCAAAATAGGTGGACCCGAGAGTACCCACCTCCTATCGGTCTCAGGCGAAAGAAAAGGATTAGGGTTTCCCGGATCGTAAGCAAAATCACACCCCCGCCCTCTTATAATCATAGTCCCCTCGGGTAGTCCCGCGGATAGCACTAGGTGCCACATGGGGCCCCTCCTAATAGGGGTAACAAAAGCGTGGTTCTATGGTCTCATCGTACGGTTCCCATTGAGGAATTGGTCCCTCTTGGACCGGAAGGTAGGGGTAGTTCAAATATGGTTCAATATCTCCTTTAGAAACATAAAAATCATAGATTCTCCTAGCATGGTAATCATAACCCCCGTCAAAATCATTACCCAAATAAGGGGAAGACAAGGAAAGGGAAATAGCATCAAGCTTATCATGCAAGCTAGACAAATCAATAGAATGAGAAAAAGAAGACGGAGAAGAGTTAGAAGTACCTCCCCGAGAATTTGGGGGAACACGACGCTTGAGACGAAGGTTAGGAAAAGGAACCTTATGAATAGAACGATCAATAGCCATCATGTTTTTCCGCCAAGGCAATTTTGATATCAAATCACGGACCATAGCTTCGGGAAGAGGAATGAGACACCAATCCGTAGTCCAACACACTTTCCAAACAAAAAAAATTCTTTTTAGTAGTGCGTTCCAAAAAACTTTGATTGATAAAAGCATAGATGCTTAGAAGACGGGAAGGGGTCTTCTCCCTCTTATCATGAATGGGCTCATGGGAGTTAAGCATAGGCCCATATTTCTTGTCAAGTGAAAGCACTAAGATGGTGATCATGCTGCATATTTGAATGCTACCCGAGAGGAAAACCCCATCACGAATATCGGTACACTGATCAAGCAAATGAGAGGCAAAATCTATGACTTCCCATCCTTCTTCCCATGGCTTACCCGCAAGCCAAAGCCAACTTAACTCTTCTCGGGATATGGCACCGAGGGATTTCTTAGAGAAGAAAGCATAGGTGAGGGTACGACTAAAATACCTCATAGCCGCGTGAATAATCGAGGCCGACTTTGAGTATTGTGGTCGATAAGCCTCTTCATTAGCTATGTGATTCCACCAAGCATCCTCACAATACTTACGATCTTTTTACAAAGTTTCGAAGGCCGGATAGATATACGATGTCCCATCAAATGGCTTCGGAAAATGAAATGCCTCATTGAGAAAAGATAGTGGAATTGAATGATCATTGTTAAATACTTGGAAGGATAGGGTTGGAGGCGAATCACCATACTCATCCTCATGAACCTCAAGAGAAGCGAGGAACTTAAATGTAATGCGGGCAAATGTTGGTGCATTAAGATCAATGAAAGCCTCAAGCCCTAAGTTCCAAGCCAACATCCTAACATCCTCATCAACTCCAAGCAAAGTTGTTGTCTCCCTATCATAGAATCTTGTGAAAAAGAGTTGTCGAGGTGACAAGTTGTAGAAGTTGTCCCAATGCTCTCGCTTGGTGAACTCGATGCCATATGTCTCCGTGATGTAAGATGGAGGAGAAACCACCTTCCTATGAGTAGAGCCTTTCTCCTTTTTAGCACGATGAAAGGACGCCATCTTTAATTCATGAGAAATCACAAAGAAATGGAACACAGAGCACTATTACACACTAGCAACCCCAAATTGCAAAACTCAAAACTTCAATCAAAGCGTACCAAAAACCTCAATTTAGGAGAGAGAAAATCACCATGAAAGTGCAAAAGTTGAGACTAAGAGCAATAATAAACTAGATGATTATGAATTTTGATTAAATTTCAATGACTATATGATGATGGAGGTGAAAATGATGCTTGAGCAAAGACCAAATAAAACATGAGTGAGAAAGTAAGGTAAGAGAGAGAGAGAAGGAAAGAGAATCGGTGGGGTTTAAGGGGGGAAGACGAGCAGGGGTGCGGCCGCACCTGGCTCGTGCGCGCCCGCACCTCCCTGGGTATTAAACCTTACCATTCTCTTTTCCTTTTTAAATGCGCACAAAGGTGGGCACAAAATTTATGATGATCATAAAAACCAACATAGGCAGTAAAAAAACTCCATTTTAGTGGGTTCAAAACTAGAATTTCATGAACCCACAATAAGAACCCACCAATCTCCATACTTACACATTTTCCAACTCATGAATTTGGACATTTCTACCTCAAAATTGGCACCAAGATTGTTGGATATCAAAACAAAACCACCTACAACACAAAAGAAAACAAGATAAAAAAAAAGAATAAAGGCATCAAAGGAAAATCAAAGAAAAATGAGAAAAGGGTTAAAAACTCGGGTTGCCTCCCGATAAGCGCTTGTTTAACGTCATTAGCTTGACGTTCTCCGCCCTTCAAGGTGGATCATAGAGAGTCATATCATGAACGACCCCGACAAAAACTTCCTCATAGTAACGCTTAAGCCTATGCCCGTTGACCTTGAAAGTCGTTGAAAGCTCCAAATGAGAAATTTCAATAGGACCATTCGGGAAGACCTCTTGAACAACAAATGGACTGGTCCAACGGGACATCAAATTTCCGGGAAAATGTCCCATTCTTGAATTGTAAAGGAGCACCTTATCTCCGGGATTGAACTCCTTCTTCTCAATTAGCTTATCACGCACCTCTTTGGCTCTAGCTTTATATAAACTAGCACAATCATAAGCATCCAAACGAAGCTCTTCCAACTCGTGGAGATCTAACTAACGTTGCTCACCCGCACTTGCCAAATCAAAATTGATCTTCTTTATAGCCCAATGAGTACGATGCTCAAGTTCAACCGAGAGATGGCAAGATTTACCATAAACCAAGCGGTAAGGGGTGGTACCAATAGGAGTTTTAAAGGCCGTTCTATATACCCACAAGGCATCATAAATCTTATTCGACCAATCCTTCCTATTTCTTGCAACCATCTTCTCAAGTATCAACTTGATTTGATGATTGGACACCTCAACTTGCCCGTTAGTTTGAGGATGGTAAGGGAGTCCAAAACGTTGGTTTACCCCATGTTTCTTCAACATTTTCCAGAAAGCACAATGCACAAAATGAGACCTGTTGTCGCTTATAACCGCCTTGGGACTGCCAAACCTTGGGAAGATTATCTTTTTAAACAACTTCATTACCACCTTATGGTCATTTTTTGGAGAAGCAATGGTTTCAACCCATTTTGACACATAATCGACGGCAACAAGAATGAATTGACTCCCATATGAAGAAGGAAAAGGACCTATGAAATCTATTCCCCAAACATCAAAAATTTCCAACTCAAGGATGGGTTGTTGGGGCATCTGATTTCTCCTTGAAATGTTCCCGGTCCTTTGACATTGGTCACAACTTTTGAAAAATTCCCAAGTGTTCTTAAAGAGGTTTGGCCACCTAACCAACCGCATTGAAGCACCTTAGAAGCCGTTCTAGAAAAACCCATATGTCCACCACTAGGATCCGAGTGGCACATCTTCAACACATTTGGTATTTCCTCATTTAGCACACATCGACGTAACAAACCATCAACACCTCTTTTATACAAAATTGGCTCATCCCAAACATAGTGCCTAGCTTCTCTCTTAAGCTTCTTTCTACGATTCTTGGAAAAAGAAGGAGGAAACTCCCCACAAGCAAGGTAATTAACCAAATCGGCAAACCATGGGAGCTCCTTCACATTTATAGAATACAAGAAATCGTCCAAAATTCTATTTTCAATAGGGGAACCATCATCTTGGACTTGAAAATCATCAAGTCTAGATAAATGGTCTGCAACCACATTTTCCGCTCCTTTCTTATCTCTAATCTCAAGATCAAAAGATTGAAGTTAAAGAACCCAACAAATTAACCTTGGCTTAGATTGCTTTTTCCCAAAGAGATATTTCAAAGCCGCATGATCGATGAACACAATAGTCTTGGACCACAACAAGTAACAACGAAAGTTTTCGAAGGAATGAAAAATTGCTAAGAACTCCTTTTCCGTTGTTGTGTAATTCCTTTGAGCATCATTAAGGGTCTTTGACATGTAATAGATGACATGGAGCTTCTTATCAACCCTTTGACCCAACACTCCCCCAATAGCCGTATCACTAGCATCACGCATAAGCTCGAAAGGAAAATCCCACCTAGGGGCTTGGACAATGGGAGTGGAAGTCAAAGCTTTCTTCAATTTGTTAAACACCTCCAACCAATTATCATCAAACACAAAATCAACATCTTTTTGGAGAAGGTCATTGAGGGGCTTGGCAATGAGTGAGATATCCTTGATGAATCTCCTATAGAACCCCGCATGCCCCAAAAATGATCTCACTCCCTTTACATTCACCGGGGGAGGAAGCTTTTCAATAACCTCGATCTTGGCCTTATCCACTTCTGTTCCTTTATGAGCGATTTTGTGTCCAAGAACTATTCCTTCCTCCACCATGAAGTGGCATTTTTCCCAATTCAACACTAAGTTCACTTTCTCACATCTTGCTAAGCATTTTCCAAGATTCTCAAGGAATCCTCAAACGAAACCCCCCCTACGGAGAAATCATTCATAAAAACCTCCATTTCTTCCTCCAACATATCTCCAAAAATGTTCATCATACTGACAGGGTAAAGTCGTATCCCCTAATAAAAAATAATTACCTAAATCACTAACTAAGGTAGATAGGGAAGTAGGGTCGATCTCCACAGGGAAACAAGTCTTTTTACTCCTAATTAATTATTATAATATAAATTATTTAAGTAACCAATATTTATGATTAAGCAACAAACTAACTACTAAGGTTGAGAATAGGAAGAAAACAATATATGAAAGGATCTAGGGCATAGGTTCACCAATAAATAATACTCCAGGGTAAAACATAGTAATCAATCATTGACATTGCATAAATAACATGATTAACAGGCTCTCACAATTTATTAATCAACATAGATCTAACAGGCTCTCGCAATTTATTAGATCTAAGTCCTTATTGAAAATAGCCTATAATATCAAATTAACATCTGCTCGATTCATCAATTTAATATTGCTATACTTTTACAAGCCGCAATTGTAAAACATTAAAACAATCCAATAAGAAATTATCATGCAATACCAATAATCAATAATACTCAATCATCAATGCATCAATTAACCAGATTGTAAAGGGCTCTCGCTACATATTACAATCACACAATTAATTCATCGGTATTAAATCTCATCTCTCGAATCTTAACTTAACCATTTATAAATTAACTTGCCTATTGAAACTAGACCTAAACATTAATTCTCATCTCTCGATTCTTGAATCAATATTGTCAAACTCATGCATAAAAGATAGGCCTAATGTAGTCACAGAGCATTAAATCAATCACTAGGAAATTAATCTAGCATTGATAATCAACAACAATAATTTACCCCTTCATATTATTTATTAGATCCCCATAAAACCTAGAAATTAAACTACTCACACATAATTAAATATAAACTAAACAAAAAATTAAACAAGACATGATAGAAGAAATAAAATAAATAACTGAGATTAAACAAAGAGTTGTAGAGAGAGAAACAAGAGAGAAAATAATACTAAGAGTTTAATTAAGGGAGAGAGAGAAAAGTTAGAGAGATAAAGAGAGAAGAAAAACTAAACTAAAAAAAGAAAACTAAAAACTAAAAACTAAAAACTAAAACTAACTAATGAAATAAAAAAACTTCCGTAAAACTAAAACTACTACTCCTTAAATAAGAAAAGCTAATGGGCCATCAATCCCACTAACAACAGAACTCCTATCAACTAAGTCCTAGATAAAGTTCTAGAAACCACGCCCTTCGTAAGAACAAAGCTATTGGGCTTATTTTGCAACAAGGCCCAACAGAATCAAGGTAGCAGCAATCATCACTCGCCCGATCGGGCCATGGGCTGCCCGATCGGGCCCGCTAATCAACACGCCCAGCAACAACTTTGAATTGGGCCTTTTTCACTTGGGCTGAAATTTTCTTATTCTTAATTTATCTTGGACTTGCAACAAAATTAATACTCCGACCAAACCGAGCCCTTAATCATCGAACCAAATTTAATTAGCTCGACCTTGGGCTTCAAAAACTCGTCATAAGGTACGATCATCTCTAATATTTTCATAGTGGCTCAATAAGCTCGGGAATTGTCATAATTCTTCAAATTCCTACAAAAAAATACCAACTCTACAAAACACTAGAAAACGTATATTAGTAATAAAAATAGCTCCGTAGAGCCCAAATAAGCACAAATATGACCGTGGGACAAGGAATAAATATATATATAAAATAGACTTATCACATACATCTTTGGAAAGTTGCGGGAGCATTGCAAAGACTAAACGACATTCTCCTATAGGCGAAGGTTCCATAAGGGCATGTGAACGTTGTCTTCTCTTGATCATCGGGGTGAATTAGGATTTGAAAGAATCCCTAGTAACCATTAAGGAAACAATAAAACTTGTGCCTTGTTAGTCTCTCAAGCATTTGATCAATGAGCGGAAGGGGAAAGTGATCCTTCTTGGTGGATGTGTTTAGACGTCTATAGTCTATACACATACGCCAACCGGTGACCGTTCCAGTCGGAATGAGCTCACCTTTCTCATTATTGACTACGGTCATACCCCCTTTCTTTCGAACGACATGAACGGGAGACACCCACCTAGAGCTTGAGATGGGGAATATGATTCTCGCATCCAAAAGCTTGGTGATCTCCTTTTTTACTACCTCCCCCATTTGAGGATGTAGCTTACGTTGTCGTTCAATAGAGGGAAGGGTGCCTTCCTCAAGCGTTATATGATGCGTACACAAAGCGGGGCTTATACCTTTGAGATCATCAATGGTATATCCCAAAGCACCTTGATGCTTTCTCAAAACATCACATAGCGCTTGATCTTGGCTCTCACTCAAGGATGCACTAACAATTACGGGATAAGTAGAATTTAGGCGTAGGAATTCATACCTAAGGTGTGATGGTAGAGGTTTGAGCTCTACCATAGGCACACCTTTACCTTCTTTGGTCGAGGCTACTAGTAAAGTATCTTGATTTAAGATCCCCACGCAAATTTGTTCATCGCTTTCTTCTCCATCAAGCAAATCTTCATACAATTTTAGTTCCTTGCTAGGAGCACCTATCTTTTCGTTGTTCAGCAAAACACACTCAAGAGGATCATTAGATGTGAGAAATTGCTCATGCATGGATTGCACAATATTATCAAGAACTTCAACACTCATGCAATTTTCAAAGGAAGAAGAGGGGTATTTCATACCTTCATTCAAATCAAAATCAACTACCTCCTCTCCTATCTTAAGAGTTATCTTAGCACTCTTGACGTCAACCATTGCCCCCCATGTAGCAAGGAATGGTCTACCTAATATGATAGGGATAGTAGCATCTTCATCCATATCCAACACAACAAAATCTACTGGAATGACAAATTTCCCCACCCTCAAGGGAACATCTTCTATCTTACCTTTTGGGATCTTGATCGACCTATCGGGTAATTGCAATGTAATCTTTGAAGGTAAAAGTTCCCCTAGCTCTAGTCTTTGATAGACCGAATATGGCATAAGGCTAACACTAGCACCTAAGTCACATAAGGCATTATCAAATTGCATCTTATTAATAGCACAACGGATAGAGAAATTTTCGGGATCCTTCAACTTAGGTGGCATCTTATTCATTAGGATTGCACTAAAATTCTCGGTTAGGGTAACCGTCTTCGCCATATCACATGTCCTCTTTCCACTCAATATTTCTTTAAGGAACTTAGCATAGTTTGTCATTTGTTCTACCACATCGGTTAAAGGAAGAGTAAGATGAAGTTGCTTAAGCATCTCTATGAATTTTCCAAATTGCTCATCCAATTTGTGCCTATTATACTTTTGGGGATAAGGGAGTTTGGGCTTGTAAAGTTCTTTCTCTTTCTCTTTCACTCTTTCTACTTGTTCCTCCTCAATTTTCTCAATTATGGGACCCTCATCTCCCTCAATCTCAATAGGGCTCTTGCTAGTACTCTCTCTAGCATCACTCTTCTTAGGTACTCCACTCTCAAGGACCCTACCACTCCTAGTGACAATTGCATCCATAGGGGTTCTTAGAATCTAAGTTCATTGAAGTCAAAGAAGAAGAAGAATTTTTAAATTCCTTAAAGTCACTAGCCAATTGAGAAAGTCGGTTTCCTAATTCCTTATTTTGAATCAACATGTCATTAAACTTCTCATCATTCATGTCCATGTAAGATTCTAGCAAATTGGCTTGTTTCTCAAAAACCTCTTCCAAGAAACTCCTAGAAGAAAATGGTTGATTATGGAAATTATCACTTGGGCGTTGAGTATTTGGAATGGATCCATGTGGGGTCCCTCTTTGAACATTAGGTTAAAAATTTCCCCTACTTTGATTATTCCAATTACCTCTAGCTTGATTCGGTTATGATCCCCATGCCCTCAGTCGTGACTTTGACTATTATAACCATGATTGTTATAGCCACCACGAATCTCTTGGACTACAAGATTTCCACAACCACCACTTTGATTATAATTATCATAGTTTTCTTGGTTGTGATAATTCCTATTTCCAACATTTATTTGAACATCAAATCTAGGTTCAAAATTATGATTACCAACATAATTCACATGCTCATTTTCAATTCCATCACATTCTTCACAAGGAACATTGGGGCACATAAAAGCATCATTATCATTCATTCCACATAAATCACAAGGCCGACATTCTCTAATCATGCAACAAGAAAAAGTAAAAGTGTTAGAATAAGAAGGTGTACCTCTCCCCTTATTTTGGGAGGGAAGAATCGGAGCTTGCGAAGGAGGACTCTCAAGCTTGGCCTTGAGGGATACGACTTCTTTCCCTAAATCCAAAATTAGAGTGGTCAAATCGTTGATGGCATTGAATTGTTTGATCGAGCACCCCTTGCTAGTTGGCTCCTTTTCCACCTCTTTCCAATTCATTAAATGTCTCACCACTTCATCTATTGCATCCACCACTTCTTCTTTCGTTTTGTTCATTATTGGGCCTCCGGCTCCGACATCTAAGCTTAGTTTTCCTTGAGAACTCAACCCACCATAGAATATTTGTATAATTTGGTACGTAGGAATTCCATGATGTGGACACTCTCGTTGATACTCCTTATACCTTTCCCATGCTTCATAGAGACTCTCATTTGGCCCTTGCTTGAAATTTTGGATCAAAGCCCTAGATTCCGCCGTTTTCTTTTGTGGGAAAAAGCGAGATAAGAAAGACTTGGTAACTTCATCCCATTTCCTTAGGGACCTTGGTTTGACCTCCTTGTCCAACCACTCTAAAGCTCTTCCAATAAGAGAAAAGGGAAACAACTTAAGCCTAATATACTCTTGAGAAACTCCGGCTACCACAATTGTATTACAATACTTCTAAAAATCTTTGAGATGATTGAGAGGATTTTAACTTTTTGTACCACCGAATTGTTTCCTCTTGATCAAGGTAATCATAGCCGGTTTGATTTCAAAATTATTATCCGGAACCAACCATGGAACAATCCCACTCTCATACTTGTAAGCACCCGAAATGCCTAACTCTTTCAATGTCACTCTATGAGCTTCTTCCATGTTCACTTGCACACACAATCTCATACAAAATTATTAGTAACACGGCTACAAATGTAGCCTAAAAGAAAGAAGAAAAATCATTTTGTATTTTTGAATAAGATGGAATAGACTCAATGACAATACAAAATCACAACGCCATTCCCCGGCAACGGCGCCATTTTGACGAGGGTTGAAGCTAGGTCGTTGAAACTTACTCCTACCCAAGGCCAAACAAAATTTGTAATCTCTCAACACACCCTTATACAAGTATAATGGTAATTAGAGGGTCGAACCACTAAGGAATGGAGAGTGATCTTATATTGCCAAGTCAAGCTATTCCGGAAAGGTTAGGTAAGGGTGTGAATGCGAAACAACTAGTCAAGCTAAGTTTTGACGAATGTAATGAACACTAGGGCTCGGGATCCACATATACTTGTAACAGTTTCCGCTAATTGGGAAAGAATTGACTAAGTCGAGTGATGCAAGGGAAAACCAATCATGTAACCAAAAAAGCATATGAAGCTATTTTCCTAGAGGTCTAACTAGCGTCAACTACGATAAACTCTAGCTAGGAATGTCACAAGACACCTCAATCGTTAAATGCAAGCCACAAATCAATGGTCAATATCAATGTGAACCTATAATGCAATCTAGTGTGAATAACTAGGGTGATCAAGCCTAAATCAAACACACACATGCACATAATCAATTAACCAATTTAGTCACCTCATAAACTCCATCAATTTCCCCAAATTAACATCAATCTATTACTCATACATGCTTCACCATTACCCTAGCACGCAAACTACTCACTAGCCATTGAAATCAAGATCAAAACAAGGCTAAACAACAAATTTATCATGATCAAATTAAACAAGCTAAAATCAAATCACAAATCAATCAAACATCAATTAAACTTGAAATTTCAACAAAAAAATTGAAATCAAACTAAAGATCGAACTAAAGATTGAATTAAAGACAAGGAATCCTTACAAACTTGATCAAAGATCAAAGGAAATGGAGAAATCTTCAATCAATAACAATCCACCATGAAATTCTCTCTCTAAAAATCTAGAGTTTCTCTCTCTAATAATCTAAAACTAACTCTAATTCTATTCTAATTCTCTCCTCCTCAAAATAGAAGGAAAAATTATCTATATAGGAAAGATACAAAAGAAAAGTTAGTTAGATCGTCCCAAAAGAAACCTCGGAAGGCGCGGTCGCAACAGAGGAGAGGCGCGACCGCGGGTAAAAGGGTACGGAACAGGGGCCCTTGCAGGCGCGCCCGCACCCGCACTAGGCGCGCCCACACCACCCAAGTGCACGGCCGCACCACCTTCGTGCGCGCCCGCACCTGGCTGCAGGGGAGCCCCCCTCTTCTTCGTCCAAGCTCATCCTCGTGGGCTCGACTTTATGATGATGATGAACACCAAGGTGGGCAGTCTTGAGAAGGCCATTTTGGTGGGTTCATGGCAAAGATGACGCCCCCACCGCATACGTGCACCGATCTCTTGACTTGCTCTTTAAGTTCCTTTAAACATAAAGTTCCAAAAGACGAACATGAGGTATCAAAGTTGATGAGAAATATAAGAGGAAGGCTCGGGATTCCTTGGAAACACGATCATAACCTAAAAACAATTGAAAACAAACAAATAAAAGGAAAAAAGAACAAATAAACAAAGAAATGCACAAAACAAGGAAAAGAACTACGGAAAGCACAAACTACGAAATAAAGAACAAAATTAAGGAAAAGCTAAGGAAAAGGGCTATAAAATGGCATGAATATCATCCTAAAAGAGGCCAAATGAATGCCATAAATGACACTCATCACTTGGACATATAGTAAATCACATGAAGCTTCTTATCCACGCGTTGTCCTAAAACACCTCCAATTGCCCAGTCACTAGAATCACACATCAACTCAAAGGGTAGATCCCATCTTGGGGCTTGAACAATGGGAGTAGAGATTAGGGCCTTCTTCAACCTATTAAACCCCTCCAAGCATTTATCATCAAACAAAAATTCATACCTAAGGTGTGATGGTAGAGGTTTGATAGCTAAATAAAAGGAAAACACGAAGAAAACACAAAAAAACACAAAGAAAGAAGGAAAAGAGGAACTAAAACAAAAGGACAAAAAATAAGAGAAGAAAGCATGAAAATGGGATGAAATCATCCTAAAAGACTACCCTAAAAGTTCCATAAATTACACTCATCACGAAATGGCGTCTAGAAAACAAAGCCTGTCGCCGAAGATATGGCTTTGTCGCTAGGCGACAGGGCTATGTCTCGGTGAAAGTCTTCATTGGCTGGCGCTACATATTTCCAATACCGAGCCAGAAATATGATTTCTAATTTCGACTAGTTCTAGCATTGTTGGCTCGATTTTATTTCTTGATTGAGTTTTTCTCATTTTTCTGAAACCCATATGTGTTCTACATATGGACATAACCCTCTAGGAATTCATGCTCCATGTACCTGATTGAACGCTTTGAGCAATGAAGGGTACATTCGAGAATGTTGAATTCACCAAACCATGGAAGCGAGTTTAACTCGCGGGGTCCCATCCAGTCGCGCCAACCCTTCCAAAGGTTCAGTATTGGTCGGGTTCAGTATTGGTCGGGTCCCATCCAGTCGCGCCAACCCTTCCAAAAATGTCTCCCCAAAACCAAACCCGATGATGAATAACCTTTCACCGCCACTATTGGTCGGGTTCAGTATTTAATCCCGAGAGTACTTAAAAAATTGTATTTGATTAAATTCATATTTTTGAACAGTCCATGGATTAGTCTTGATGTTTGGTAAAAGCATAGTTTTAATTTCAGCCCTAACTTATTATTTAACTTTAGCCCAAACCTTTTTTATTTTATTGTTTTATTATTTATTTTTGGCCCAAACCTTTTATTTATTTTTATTTAATTATTTTCTTATTTTAGCCCAAATAATAATAAGTTAGAAAAGGCCCGAAATTATCAATCGACACTTCAAATGCCGAATGAAATTAGAGTTAAAAATGTATTTAGACGGAAAAACAGGCTGGAAAATCCCGCGCCACGGCAGGTACCCACCGTGTCACGGGAATCCTTCCCGTCTGACGGTGGGATTTCCCGTGACACGGGAAGTCTTCCGTTACACAGGACATTCCGTGTCTTTTTCGCGTAAACCCTTAACGCGTTTTCTATCCCGTATTCTGAATATTTCCGCGTCACACTAAAAATGTACCGTGACACGGGAAAGTGTGCCGTCTGACGGTGGGACTTCCCGTCTCACGGTATAGTTTTCCGTGTCACATGATACTTTTTTAGGGTTTTTATCATTTTAGGGTTCTTTGTGCTCCCTCAGCACATTTTCCCTATAAATACCCCCTTAGTCTCTGATGTACGGGGCACCAATTAATTCTTGAATTTATCTTTCTCTCTTCTATGCTTTAGACTAAACACTAGTCTACCCTTTTCTACTTCAAAATTCCTTTTTCAAGTACTCAAAGGAGTCCATACTTTACTCGTG